GGCTTTCCGTGTTACCAATCTTTTAACTTATTTATCGTTTTTCTCCTAACCTCTAGTTTTGACGTTAGTAGAGTTCAATCATTCGGTTATCCTTTGGTTAACTCCTCATCTCATCATGTGCCCAAATCAGAGCAGATTTAAGCTGATCAAAAATCACGTTTGATCTTATTAAAGTGTTTATCTTTAAACGGAACATTAAAAAGTGTGAACAGAACATTTGGGTACTAAGTATGTCCTTTTCAACCCGAACGTTGCATAGGTTTCAGAAAGTGCTTCTCACAATGACTATAATTTTGGTAGATGCGAAATTTTATTATCAATGTAAGTGGGCGTCATATTCTGCCGTTTAGCTGCTGGGTTGTGCTTAAACGTCAGATTAAAAGTTTACTTGCTTATATCTGAGGCCACTGTCTTGGACAAGAGGTAGAAAGCTTGAATATCACTGAGGCATACCAAAATAAAATTTGTTAAATGCACAGTCTTCCTCAGATTTGTTTTCGTTGTATGCCAGGCAGCACATACGAATATTTGTTTAATAAACTTAAATGATTGATTAATTGCTTGATTGATCGTAACTATTATCGGAGCTCTGATCACTTTACTATGATAACTGCTGCATCCTTTGTCGATCTGTCACCCTAGAAAAATCACAGAGCTGTCATACGAAAACAAATTTTGACTGTCAGTAGAGAAGGTGACCATCAGCTGTTGCGGGCGTTGCAAAAAATGACCACACTACCGGAAAGCACAGTAGGTCATGAAACATTTTCAAGTTATTCGAGTCTTTCATCATTCCATGAAAGGCAAGCGACATCCGTACTGTTTGCTATGACTTTGGCAATATCTCTCTGATGTAACAGGTAAATGATGCGAAGTCCATGTTTACCGAATCTTTTAATCCTCATATCCTTTACAACGCTATCCGCACAGAAACTCACGTTTAATTCTACATGCAAAGCAGTGACAAATATACTATTTCCAAAATATTGCCTTCCATTGCTCATCTGCAAAATATTAAAATGTGCATAAAACAAAAATAATATAACACAAAGCCTGATACCATTGACAAACATATTAGTTAGCTTTTCGAACCCAACAAGGTGTTCCTATATCAAGCCATGACTAACTACTCAACCAAAGACCATAACGTATGAACAAATATATTTTCACTAGATACTTTGATACGACGCATCAAACCTCTCTCAATACAGCGAATGAACATTTCAAACAGATTATAATACTTGAGTTAAACAGTACTTAAGTACTTATTTGATTTCCGCAGATGACATTTTCATATTTTCATTCATCTTCTGGTTAATACTTTCCAGGATGCCAAAATTTGCTTGATTCATCGTGTTCATATTATTCGTGAGCGGCTTCTGTTCAGCGTCTAGAACTTTGTTTCGAGACATGTTGTTTCTGATTGCTGTGTCTTTCAGCATGTAATTTCTTCGTGGCCAACCCCACCGGTTCAATTGGTTGTATAAGGTGCAGAGCCAGTACGTCTGCGGGACGTTGCATTGTTGTTGATATGGCATCTGGAGTTGATACAATGCCTGTTGCTGATACGGCCACTGCTGTTGGTACAATCCCTGCTGCTGATACGACCATTGTTGTTGATTTGGATACTGGTATTGATATGGATATTGTGGTCTTTGAGGGTATATCCAGAGTGCCTTAATGCATTATCGACGTTTAATGTCTAACAAAGTAATTGGGATGTTTTTCACGTTTTCTTCGCTCTTACAGCGAAAAGCGACCTGCACTGTTCAAAACCCTATTTGAAAAGAACATCTGCAGGAGGTGATCCTTTAAATCGAATGTATCCCCGATACAACTTATGGGTATCTGTTGGACGAACGCCGTCATCAGTTTCGAAGACGTCAAGTGAAGTAGCTTTCTTCCAGAGGAATGTGTCATGTTAGGAATGTAGAGTCTTACGCAACCGTAAACACTCTAGAATGTCGAAGAAACCCCTTAATCTTTAATCACTTGAAAATGACCGTTTGCTGCTCTACGCTGACCACCTACTGCCCTGCTTCGTGGCCAACTCATCTGTCGATGCACCGCCTGACTGATTTGATATAATCGCTTAGATTTTGTCAATGAGGAATCGAATGGCTTGTACAAGGAAGGAAGCAGCGTCACGAATATGATCGTTCTAGACTCGGAAAGACTTAGTAGAATGCCATCGATGTTACAGCATTCCATACATTAAAATGCTGGTATTGAAACAACGTCTAAAAATATAGATTAAAGTTACGACGAAACAAAAGAATTTTTTGTTCGAGCAAGAGAGTCAGCGTTGAGTCCATTTTATCGTGATGGTGTCGGATGATCGGAGTGGAGCCTTACAGGTGGTTTCATCTTGCATTTTTAATGCAGACATGGCATCAAAACTGATATTAGTATGCACAGAACGCAAAGGAGTTGAAGCAAGAGATCAGTTATTTATAAATGCAATGTGATGGTGAGAAGGAAATAATGACAAAATACATGGCAAATGATTTTGCAGGAAAAAACTGTAATTGCTCCGGTGAATCGAAGGTTTTGCACGATCTGCTGCACAATCCCCTAGCATGAGAAAATCTCGGTTCTACTTTACGAGACAATGAAGAAATCTGTAGCGGATTAAGAGGTCGGTAAAAAAAGCTGCGCCTCTTATGAAGAGAGGTTGCGTTCGATACAAATGAGTTAACTTTAAAATATCACACTTACGTCACCAAAAGCCAAAACGCTTCCAAGGCACAAGACCAGAATTGCCAAAACTTTGCTTCTCAACCGAGCCATGTCTTTTGCTGCACGATGAATATATGACTGAAATTACAACGTTGACAAGCCACATTTTATAAGGTTACAGTGAATGACTGTTTTCTTCAAAGGCTTCTCTGTGTACCCAGGTGTGACGTGCCACTGTTGCAGACGGCGAATGCTAATTGCTCTTTAGTTTATGACATGTGAGGCTCCTTTCCGCGATTTTGTTTATTTTTGATTGTTTACCAACTTTCTTCCTCAAGTCGTAAATATGAACGACCCCTTTCGTAAATATCACAAAGACCGAACGCCTGATTTGCTTAACAATTTACGTCACGACTAACAATTTCGCTCACCTTTTCGTATGTGCAGACGCTAATGAGTGGAACACGCTTCGTCAACATAGGCGTGACGTGTCGCAGTTGGCAAAACTGATGCTTATGAAAAATTGCTAAACTTTTTTCACCTCATAGGAATATGTGTATGAGCTCGGCAGAGTGTTTTTCTTCTACAACGTAACATTGATTAGTGACCGATCATATATGCCTGGTCACAATCCGTGCCTGTTTCGACACCGTTCAGGTCTACACTGTCTCGTAAGAATGGCGATCACTTGGCACGTGATCAGACTTCGCCAAGTGGTACAACGTTCATTGCACTGAACGCAGTGGTAATTACTGTAGAGAGGGAGAAATCTTATGAACTTATGGCATACTGTCAGAACTGAGTTCGAAGTCTTCTTTCTCGCCCGGTACCGCACGAGTACAGGTCGAAGAAAGACTGGCTAAACTTGGCGAAGGCCATTGCGCGTGACGAATTTTCCAGAAGTTGAAAGCAACAACTCTGGACGTCACTGAAGCCGGTGGCTGCTGAACCAACAGTACAACAATATCGTTCGTTTTGGCCATATGATCTAGATTATTATCACATTAGTGGATAGAAACTCGAAGTTTCGAAACACTGAGTTTCGAACCTCAAATTTCACATGACTTGAAACGAATTCGCACAGCTTCAACAGCGGCAACCATCAATGACTTCCAAATCGAAACTGAATTAATCACCGATCAAGTTTGTTTGCGAAGGCTGACTGATTCAGATTACCCACCGAAGAAACAACGAGTTCCTAAACATTCATAAAAACAGGAAATGTTCAGATGAGGTTAGAATGACATCTGATGACAGCGCTGCATTATTAACAGCTCCACATGGTTGCTATGCCTGAACATTAACGATAAAAGATGAACTCTATATGAGTGCACCAGCGGACCATGTCAAGAAGTACGCTGGACAGTCTGCG